AGATGTTTAAAGGATAAGCCTGCCGTGCCTGGGAAATTCAGGTGTCAAGGAATTGTAACAAATAAAGGGATCTAGGTGACCCTAGGGTATCAGTGTTGGGGGGGAGGCATGAGTCACTGCTGATTTTCTTTTAAATGAGCCTCCTAGGAAACTTTAATTTTATCTCTAGTAGCCTAAAGGTTACTCAGTTCTTTTCTTGGTTCTTGAAATACGGTATCTTAAAATCTAGCCATCTGCCAGATGATAACAGCAGTAGCAAGAAGGAACAGTGCATGGCTGTCTTGGAAGACACTCTTGTGTGCCTGTAAAGGAATTTTCTGTTGATCTGCCTTAAAGTCAGTCCCTAAGGCCCTCATTCCAGAGATCTTACCCCAGAGGGGGCCGGGAAGACTAGACTAATAGGCCTTGCTTTGTTCCTCAGAATTTATTGTTATTGGTTAATACCAAGCCTATGCATTAAAAATTCAGTTTTCCTGACTGTTTGAGTCTTCATTTGTGAATACTTTCATGTCACATAAGAGCTTGCCTTGTCTCCTATTAATCTGTCTGTTACTGAGGTGTGAGCAATGACACCTTGTCATGGACGAAGGAAAGGTCACGCTCTTGCCCTACCTTCTCTTCCTCAATATTGTTTATTCGCCTGCCTGCCTGCCTGCCTGTCTGCCTGTCTGCCTGTCTGTCATATCTATCATCTATCATTTTTCTGTGTCCGTCCATCCATCCATCCATCCATCCATCCATCCATCCATCCATCCATCCAGTGATGCTAGAGATGAAATCCAGAGCCTTGAGCTGATTGGGGCAGAACTTTACCATTGTGCCTCACACCCCCCCTCCCCCCCATCAAAAGTGTCTAACCTAAGGTTGTAAAGATGATTTCTGTACCCTGAAATCTCTTTCTGTCTCTGCCTTCAGGGCCTCACCATGTACTCTAGGTGGGTCTGGAACTTACAGTTCTCTTACTTCAGGCTTATAGTTGTGAGCTTCCAAGCCCAGCTTTGAAATGTATCACCATCTCTTCCTCTTCATTTGAGACAGTGTCTCACTATGTAGCCTAGGATGGTTTCCGACTCATGTGATCCTTCTGCCTCAGCCTCCCAAGTTCTGAGATTGCAGGTGTACAGCTCAAAAAACAAAACAAAACAAACAAACAAAGGAATGGCTTCTTCTTCTTTAAGACAGGGTTTCTCAGTGTAGCCCTGGCTGTCCTCAGACTACTCGGGGCTCAGGGAGTCCTGCCTGCCTTTGTTCTCAGGTGTTAGTATTAAAGGAATCTAACCATAAATTTGTTCCACATTCTGCCATGGAAGCTGGAGTTCCACAGGGCAGAAATTGGGGGTTGCTGTTTGGCGGGCTTGACCAGATAGGCCTTTGGTGTCTGGCATGGCCTTTGCAGTTGAAATAAAGGACATGGCTTGCGCTTTCCTTTGTAACACTTGTCCCGGAGTACTCCTTGTAGCATGCATGGCTCTGCCAGAGCAAGCTGAGAGCTTCTGGCATTTTCTTTTCAGTGTGCTGGGCTTTCATCAGTTGGGTCAGAATTTCTGTGCCTGGGGCCAGGAGGTTCTGTGCCATCTCTGTTTGCTTGTCAGAGGGAAGTGACAGTGGCTGCCTTCTGAGGAGGAAGCGTGTGATGAACAGAGGGTGCATTCCAAGAGCACCTGCCTCTTGGTGCCATTGCCACCAAAGAATTGCTACTGTCTTACTGTGGTCCTCTAACTGGGGTCAAGAAACTCACTGCTCTGTAAAATGGATGGGACTTGGCAAAGTGATGTCCATTACAACAAAGCTCACGAGAGCTTTTGTTTAGATCCAGAACACCCGCTTACTAATTTACTCCGAGAGTCCTGTCTGCTAGCAAGTGAGCCCATTGTGTGACTGGAGAGTTCACTTCACTCACTGGTGGTACCCTGAGAAGAGAGCCAAGTTAGGAGCTGCTTTGTGAGGAGAATGGGGGAGGGGCAGCGGGGGCATCCTGGATGGTTCTGTCATGTTTTCATTTAATAAACCGTCTTGAGGCAACTGTATCTGTTTCCAGAGCTGTATGCGGATGTGTATGTGCAGACACAGGTGCAATGCGTGTGCTGGCTGACCTTCTGCAGGATGCAGTGTTAGCCCTGCTTGCTTATTGCCGCCTCTTTTTTGTTCATGGATTTTGTTGTTGTTGTTGTTGTTTGCCTTGTGGATTTTAGGCCATGGATGATTTTCCATGGCTCAGTTGAATTTTTGTTGATTTCAGAATTTAACTTGTTGCGAAGTCTTTATTTTTTTTCCTGTGTGTGTGCGCGCGTACATGCTGTGGTAGTGTTGGGATACTTATTTTGTATTCTCACGTATAATCTGTTTCTTGTTGTCATTGTTTGGACAGCTTTTGTCCTTAAATTTGAACTTTCCCCCGAGTCAGCTGTCTGTGAAAGAGTGGGGCCTAGGAGAAAAACTTACCATAGATACTTGATAGCCTCTCACACCTAAGACCGCTGATTCAGGCGATGTGACTGTCCTAAAAACAGCTGAGCTCCCTACACAGGCCAGAGGGCCATCTGGGATAAGATGCCAAAAACCAATGTCACCTAGACCTTGCTTTGTAACTTGCTGGGTAGCATGGTGATTCTGCTGCAAATTAGGAAATGACCTGATGGCCAAGGAAGGAAAGCTTTGTGGACATGATGTGGCCTGAGCTGGCGAGAGGGTCAAGCACGGGCCCTCCACAGCGTGTGTGAGGGGACTAGGCCAAGCTTGTGGCTAGTGCCCCGCCCCTCCATCCCCCAGACAAGGTTTCTCTGTGTAGCCTCAGCTGTCCTGGAATTCACTCTGTAGACCAGAGGTCCCCTTGCCTCTGCCTCCTGCAGGCTGGGATCAAAGGCACGCGCCACCATGCACATTTTCCTTTTTAAAGTGTGTAGTCTTCACAAATTGCAAACCCCACAGTTGGTCTCAAGAAGAAAACGTGTGCTCTTTGGGAACATCGTCCTTTGGAAAGCAGTAAGACGCTGGCGTTGTGCCGCCCTTGTGGCTCTAAGGCTTATTTCCTTCGGAAGTCGACCTGTGACAAATGTGGCTTCCATGTGAAGTGCAAGAGGAGGAGTTATACCTCAACTGGAGAGCCAAGGTTAAGGGACGGAACACTACCGGGACTGGGCGGATGAGAGTGTCTATTGCACATTCAGACATGGATTCCATGAAGGAACAATACCTAAACCAAGAGGGCAGCCTTTGCAGCATCCGGTTCATTTTGAGGATTTCAATCCGTCAAAAAAGAAATGTTCTGGTTTAAAAAAAAAAGAAAAAAGAAAAATATGTGTGCGCCTATTAGGTATCTATTTATCTTGTTTTCCCTTCACCTCTTTAAATTAAAGCAAACAAAAATTCTTTAGAGACAGTCTTGCTAGTACCCCTGGGTGAAACTGGTGATCCTCCTGCCTCAGCTTTCTGACAACTGGGATTACAGGTGTGCGCCACCACGTGTGGCTTTCATGGTCTTTTAAACGTACCACATCACTGTGGATTGTTTTCAGGAGAGTCTTATGTTTCCACAGGGCCCCATGTGGAAATGGGCCCTGCGCAGATTCAAGAAGCATATCAAAGGCAGAATTGGGTCTGAGCCTTGCTCCTTTTGTGTGTAAGTGCTTGTTTGTACGAGGATTTAACCCTAATAACTGCTATGGCTTTCTAGATATTATCCTCCTCATATCTTTCAGTTCTGTTTGCCCAAAGCTTTTCTTGATCTGAGAGGAGAGGGTAGCAGCCTCTGAAGAAGATGAGCCGGCTGAGGGAGGCAGGGCCCAGCTGGGACTCTGCACTGTCGGAATCAGGCCCTGCTGTTAATTAGCTGAGTGACCCCCGGGTGGAGTCAAGTCTCCCAGGGTCTCTGTTTCTCCGTTGGTAAAACAAAGGCTTGGAAAAATAAATACAGCCTTGGACCACATGACAAGAAGGGTCACTCTGCTTGCTTTTGTTGTGGCTCTGTGTATAGCACATCGAGACCCCTTGCCCCTCTCCAACCCCTCCTCCCCAAACTGCTTTCCTCTGAGCAGTGACGTGTCTTGTCACACGGAGGCCACCTGAAGCTTTCAAGTTAGTGAGGCAGGTTTGAGATTCCCCCTCTAGTGGAAGTTTCTCCCACTGCCTCTCCTTGCTCTCCATCTCCCCACCCCCACATCCCCTGTTGGTTTTGGAGCTGCTTGCATGCCTTCTGCCTTCTTTGTGGCGCATCGGCCCCATTCGGAAACAATAGTCCCATTGTCTGTTGTTGTAGGGATGGTTTCCAGTTTCATCTTAATCCTGGGCCATTGTGTTGTTTTTACAAACTCCATACCACCCACATGCAGAATGCAGTTTTTTGTTGTTGTTGTTGTTTTCTTTTTAAAGGACTCAGCAGCAATCCATAGCCTATTCTCATCTCCTTCCCAAAGCCCTAACTATATATAGGAAAAACACACGGGAGGATGTGCAGTTTGATTGGGCCACCTGGCATCAGGGTTAAACTGTGTTTCGTCTTGTATTTAGCTTGCAAATACTTGTGAGGTATGTTCCAATCCAGTAACCTTCCAGAATGGCTTTCTAATAAGCGGCACCTGTAAGACACTTTCTTCTGACCACGTAGCTTCTTTCTTATTAACCATAAACTCTGTTTTTTCTTTTTGTTGTTATGAATTAGGGCTGGCAAAGTATATGACCATACCAGATATCTTACTGCTGGTAATGGGCCCAGGTTTAGCCTCGTAACCCTAATTAGATGTGGAATGCCCGGAATGCCTTGCATGTGGCTGTTGTAACTACGACAGTGAACTCTGGTCTTCCCTGAAAGTTAGGAAGCATTCCTTGTGTCCCCGCCACCAAGTTCCCACCACATGTTTATTTATAGGAAGCAAACATCAGTCTAAGGCCCTTCTATGTTATCCTGGAGAGAGATCTTTTCGGAGCATGAATTACACATGAGGTGACATGCAAACGATATTCCCAATTTTTCCTTCACTTAACTCCTTCCCTTTTCTCCTTAGAGACAAAAGAGTGTTGAAGATGTTGAAGGCCGTGCTGAAGAAGAGCCGAGAGGGAGGAAAGGGAAGCAGGAAGGAAACAGGTAAGTGCGCAGAGAGCAGCTGAGCTGCTACCGTGGGCAGGCAGGTCCCATCACCTCAGGCTCACCTCAGGAAGGCACAGGGGCTCTGTACGCACAGCATCCCAGAGGCTGTGAGGAGCTCTGCATTTCTGAGTGTGCTCGTTGTTGTTGTTTTTTTAAAAAATATTTTATTTCATGTTCAGTGGTGTTTTGCCTGCATGTTTGTCTGTGTGAGCGTGTTGGATCTCCTGGAACTGGAGTTACAGATAGTTGGGAGCTGCCATGTGGGTGCTGGGAATTGAACCTGGGTCCTCTGGAAGAGCAGCTGGGCCCTTAACCACTGAGCCATTTCTCCACCTCCATCCTTTTAATTAAAAAAAAAATATATATATATATATATATATGTATATATATATATATGTTTATTAATGGGAAACGATGTTAGAAATTAAGTTTGAATTTTGAACCAAATCCTCCCCCTTCTCCCCCCAAGACTATAAAAGGTCATAATTTTAACAAGTCATTCAGATCCGGAAGCAAAGTTAAAGACATTGAAGGAAGGCAGTTGTGTTCAGGAATTTGATTTCTAGAAAGCCCTTTCCCCTGTTCCACACCGAGTAGAATTTTATGCTTGACCAACTGTTGCCTGACTGAGTGTGTTTTTGAGTATCAAATTTTATTCCTAACAGGTGTCCCTCCCACTTAACGCCAGACTGCGCCCTCGTTGTGAGGAGCATGGCTTAGTTTGGCTTTGGTGTCTCTCCCGTCTGCAAGGTTCTGGTGCATTCTTGGCCACCGTGACCCCCGTAGCATCACATTCCATGTGGGGACCTCCTCGCAGGTTGTTGCGGTCAACAGTCAGTGTTATAGTTGAGTTTCTCTGCAGAGAAAGTCTGGGCCTGGTGTACAGCTGAAGTGTTAGCTTTAGGAACTACCCTGCAGCCGACTCTTTGAACTCAGGTTAAATCCGGGCTTGTTGGCAAATGGCTCTTTCTAAAATTACTTAATGTCAAGTGATAGTTCTGTTTTGTGTTTCTGTTCTAATATGGTTAAGTGCACTTAGTACTACAGTGTTACCAACAGTTATCTTTTACTCCAAGATCTTATACATTGTTGTTAGTTTCCATGCTTGTATGAGGGGCTCAGTAGACCTCTAAATATTTTGCTCATGTGGGACCTAGATAAAATTTCTAAACTGGGCATGGTGGTGAGCACCTTTAATCCCAGCACTGGAGGAGGCAGAGGTAGGCAGATCTCTGTGAGCTGGCCTGGTCTACAGTGTGAGTCAAGGACAACCAAGGCTACACAGAGAAACCCTGTCTCAAAAAACAAACAAACAAAAATCTACTTATTACTAATTATCCCTTAAACCAAGCCTGCAAAGTGGCCAACTCACCTCAAAAGTGAAGCCTTTAGTACGAGGTCGGTGTTGGGATTCCATCTTACATTTCTCATTAATGCCTGGGTAAACAGATCCAAAGAATAGAAGAGAGCAGATTTTAATGATATAAACAGAAGGCTGCATAGTTAGCTCAGAACCTTAGGAAACCAACCCCTAGCTTTGAATAATTAATTAGAATTGTTACTATGGAGAAATTTTAGTCCACATAATTTCTTTCCAGGGGCACATTCATCTTCTGCTGGATCGGGGCCAAAATGTCTTTCTCATTATTTTTCAGAAAGCAGTTAATTTTTTCCCCCCAAAGTTTTGGCTCATCTGATAACTAATTCTAGAGACTTTATTTGTTGCCTTCGAAGCCTTTGTAATTTTCAGCATAAGCTTAGATCCTAAGCTGTCTGTTGGTTTGGAGCTGCCAAGCAAACAGGTGCCTACCCTCTTTTCCTCCCAGGACCAGGGTCTTCAAGCCAAATTCCCTGTAGAGAAACAAAATCTCTCAGCAAAGACTCTCGTCCTCTTTCATGGTGCCAGGATCATGGGAAATAACACTTTAAACGATGCCCAGCACCCGTGCCTTCCAGGCAGGCCAGGCAGCCAGCACAGTTTGCCTTTGAAAGGTTTCCAGTTTCAAAACATGGGACTTGGGATTTAAGTTTCTCCTTGGCCTTTTAAGAGTAACTACTGCTTTTCCTAAGTCCTGTCTTTCTAATAGTTCCCACACCCTGGCTTTTTCACTGGGGTAAACCAACTTGAAAAATGTAATGGGAACATCTTGTGTAAGGCATCTGTACTGTCGGGGCCCTTTGCTGTTAACTAGATCCTGGTTTGTGCTGTGTTGGGAACAAAACAGTTAGAACTTTGCATCCAGATGGAGTTATGTGAAAAGAGTTGGGTAAATACGTCGAATCTGACAGCTCCTATGTTGAGGGCTGCGCCAGCTTTCATCCTCTGAGGGAGCTGAGGCTTTCTGTAAGTTAAAGTTGGTCTGAGACAGTCGTGAGGCTGCTTAACAACCTCTCCAGTGTGGAAAGCCTTTGCGGTAGTGTTCCCAATTAAAGGCAATCTCTATTGTAAGGACTGAAGAGAATCCCATGCACTTGAGCTCATGGTCAAATAGTTGTCAGAAAAAAAAATGAGTTCCGCTTTTCATATCCTTTGTAGAATTTTTTTTTTTTTTAAATGCTGCACATAGTTTGAAAATTTGGAAAACAGAACCACTGAGTTGGAGTTAGGAGCACTCCTCAAAAGAAACTAAATATTTCCCACAAGTTTTGAAAAGAATAGTGATTTTCCTTTGATTGTTTCATTTTGGGTGGTGTTTCTGAGGCAGGGTTTCTCTGCACAGCCCAGCGTGGCCTTGAGTTTCTGCTCTTCCTGCCTCTACCTCCCAGCTGCTGGATGGCAGGCCTGTGCCACCCACATCTGGCTGAATAGTAGTGGCTCTTCCTCACATCTACAGCTAAGGCTTCTAGTAAGCATTCTGCAGCTGAACTATGGCCCCCCAGACCTTTCCCGGAAGTATGGGAAAACTCTCTTCCCGCTTCTGCCCCTAGGAGAATGTGTCGTATGTCTCTACCTCAAGCTGTTTTGGAAAACAATGAGCAAGTGTTGAAACCCAAATTACTTGTATATCCTAGCCCAAGAGACTCAGTCTCACTGGGTAAATTCTAAAATTAATAAAATCCTTTTGAAAAATTATTTTTTAAAAAAATTTATATGCATTGGTGTTTTGCTTGCATGTTTATCTGTGCAAGGATGTTGGATCCTGTGGAACTGGAGCTACAGACAGTTGTGTGCTGCCATGTAGGTGCTGGGGACTAAACTCGGGTTGTCTGGAAGAGCAGTGAATGTTCTTAACCGCTGAGCCATCTCTCCAGTCCCTGATTGCATATTTTTAATCTATGCTTGTAGATGAGTAAAATGTGAGGTTTTGGGACCCAGAGAGGCGTGTTGGTGAGTGCAATTTCAAAAACTGTGAAGTGCTCCTCCCCACCCCCCTGGGGGTTGTATGTTCTCTTTGTTCTTGTTGAAGTTCTTTCATTAAGAAGTGAGCCACATCTATCTTTTGACCTTGAACTAGGCCTATGGGAGCAAAAAATAAATACTGAAGGCCAGCAAGATGGCTCAGCTGCTAAAGTACTTTCAACCAAGCCTAGACAGCGGCTGGCATTTGATTCCCCGGACCCACACTCTTAAAAGACAGAATTAACTTCTGAAGGCTGTCCTCTTAGCTCCACCTGTGTGGATCCCATAAATATGCGTGCATGCCCACGCTCACGAACTCACACACCCCATGCGTAAATGTAGTTTAAAAGTCCGTGTTAGCCACAGTAAGAGGGTATGCCAGATTGACACATCTATTTTTGTTTGTTTGTTTTCCTGTTAGAGTACTGATTTAAAAGGAGGACATGAGGCGCCATCTTTATCTCAAAGCTCTTCAGAGAAGTTTGCCACTTGCTACCATGTTTGTTTTCATCTGACCTGTCCTTACCAGAGGATTTTTTTTATGTGACTCTTATTAAACTGTTATTAAAAAGAGCCAACTCCCGTTCTCTGCATCAAGAGTGTCTGATGCTAAATCTGAACCTAACAGGAGTGTAGAGTGGCCATTATTAAAGTCAGGCTCTTTTCTGTAGAGAAGGAAGTACCGCTCCTTGTCATAACTCTCTGATAATATGTACAAGCTTCATGTCAAAATAAATGATAAAGCTTTATTGAAGGACTCAAGACTTAACCGAACCAAAAGAAATGTATGTGTGTGTGTGCGTGTATGTGTAAATGTATGCACGCACACGTACTTGTTACTCTAAGCCAAACGGTTTTCCTAGAATGATCTGTATCGTTTGTTTAATCCCGGATGGAATCCCACTTTTGTTGTTGTTTCTTGTCCTGGGGATCAAGCTCTAGGCCTCGAAATATATTTCATCCCTCATCTAAACCTGCACTCACCACAATGTTTTGGTTTTGGGGACTCTTTTTTATTTTTTTGGTAAGTTTTGAAAGGGGGTGGTTTTAGGTTCACAGTAAACTAGCAGCTTTCCCCTTGTGTATGTGCATGGCTTCTATACCCACCAGCCATACCAGAGTGCTTCATTTCACATGCCTGGCTGTCACACTGGCGATCACATACAGCAGACAGTTTACACTAGGGCTCATCCGTAGGCGCCTGCATTCCATAGTTCAGAGAACTATATTGTAGTATCATACGGAAAATTCTGGCTTCTGTGAACATCCTGTGTTTCTTTGTTCTGACACAGCATAAAATTGATATAAAAGTTTGTCTGGAAGAGAGGATGCTTAGGATTAGGCAGAGAGAATTGGAAACTGTGGCAAGCGCTTGTCAGATGGCCAGGCCTGGCTCAGATGCCTACGTTATAGCAGCAAGGGAGCTGGAAGAGTGCACGTGAGTTCTTAGTGTCTGCGGGGCAGGGTGGGTTTTGCCTCTCGCCAGCACCTGCACCACTGAGGATTCTTAAGTCAGAGACACTGGGAAAGCCTCTTTCCCCTCCAGGCTGACAAGTGCCAGGGCTTCTTGTCGCTCATGGTAATGGTCAGTTCCTCATAGCAGGCAGGTAGCTCTGCTGGTTTCTTTCTTTTCTTCTTGCTGTCAAGAAATGAAGCC